AATGGTCTTTTTTCACTGTCTTTTAAACATTTATCTGATGATTGTGTGAACTCCGCAGGTGGATTGCTGGATTGGGCTGTGTGCACAGCTCTGCATTTATCCCTCAGGGGTCAGGTACCCTCAGTGTCTGACTCTACCTGTGCCTTCCCCCTCCTGGTTCCAGGGCTATCAGGGCCCTCCCTCTGCTGAAAGGCCTGAGCACACTCAGGGTTCAGCAACCTCACTCATCCTCTCTCAGTCCACATTGATCCCTGGAAGAGCTGTCAGCTCAGTGCACCAAACACAGGGAGCCCCACATCTACCCACATGAGGGCCCCGGCTGTCCTAGAGGAAGTAGTGCCAACCCCACAGTGGGGACAGGTGACTCTGAGGGCTGGGATGTGCATCACCTATCTCTTCCCTCCACCTTTTCTCCTGAATCGAAGGTTTTCTAGCTTCACTGTGGGTGAGATGTGCATTGGGAGCATGTTGGAAGACTAGGATCATCCATGGGACCGCTTGCATACATACTTTTCTCTTACTCCTTGCCCAGGAAACACAGAGTTACATAGACACATATTCACACACACAGAGTCATACACAGAGACACACACAGCGTTGCACACTTATTTTTGGAAAACACGTGCTTTCACACATGAGCAGTGACACAAAACAGTTCATGTTGTTACACACTGTACTTTATGAATCCTATATAATAAAATGTGGTTATATGTCATTCTCTCGGATGTCATATGAAATTAATATGTGGTCTGAAAACAAGTATTATTTCGATATTGTGAAGATCAACAGTTGTATTTCTCAGTCCACTTAGTAGTTGCTCAAATTAGGGATTTGACCCCAACTTTTCTACATTGCTATAAATTTTTAAAAATAATAGAAGTAGTAGTGAAAACCTACCAACAAATAAAAAGCCAAGGACCAAATGGACTCAAGTGTGAATTCTACCAGAATTTCAAATAAGAATTAATAACTTTTTATTCACCTCTTCTTGAACTCTTCCAAGAAATAAAAGACAATGGTTACAAACAGATTTATTGAGGTGACCATTACACTCATATCAAAGCCAAGTAAAAAATATACAAAAATTACAGGTCAATATCCCTGATGAACATAAGTGCAAAAACCATCAACAATATAGTAGGAAACTTAACTTCACACTGAAAGGATTATTTACAATAATCAACTGGGATAGTGCCCTAACATGCAAGGATGGTTCAATGTATGTAAACCAGTAAATGTGATACACCTCATCCAAAGAATGAAGGATAAAGTATACTACCATATAAATAGATATAAAATAAAGCATTTAAAATTTAAAATAGCTTCAGAATTAAAATCCTTAGCAGATTAGCTGTAGAAGTGATGGACCTCAATGTACTAAAGGCTACATTTGAGAAGCCAACAAGTGAAATCATGCTACACAGAGAAAATTTCAAAGCTTTTCTTCTTACATCAGAACCAAAAAAAGGCCTCCCCTGTGACTATTTCTATTCAACAAAACTAGAAGTCCTTGTGATAATAATAAGGCAAGAAAAAGAAATTTAAAATGTCTAAATCAGAAAGAAACAAGTTAAAGTGTTTCTCCTTATCTGTATGCAGATGACATGATCTTGTACATAGAAAACCCTAAAATCTTTATGAGAAGCTAATAGAACTAGAATTCAGGAAAGATGTAAGGTATGAAACCAATGCACAAATGACTTGCATTCCTGCACACTCTCAACAGAGTGTCTTCATAATTCTAGGAAATATGTGGGGTTGATTCAGAGGAATGTGAGGAAAGAAAGCTTGAACTGGCTAAACAACAAGGAGATGACAACCTAGTGAAACAAGAACCCTGGACCTGTGTGTGTCCTCAGTCTTGGTTAATCCCCCATTATGTTCCCAGGTAGATTTCCTCCCAATGTGGCACTGAGTCAGGTGCATCGTCCAGCTGACCCCCATCATGTGGAGACATGGGACCCTGGTCCCAAGGGTCACATGCAGACATCACATTTCCAATAATAATATTTTCATAACCTAAATGTAATTACTCCTAAATAATCATCCACAGCTTCCCCTAAACACACCTGGTCATGACAGAGATTATTCTTCATCTCAATATACAAAACTGGATTTACAACAGAGTCTAGAGGATAAGCACCACAAAGGAGGCCATGCAGCTGCTACATGTCCAGCACCAAACACCCCTGAAGGAATAAAATCCAGGAGCTCTGTGCGTGTCTATATAGTTCATGCTTCTGGTCCTCAGGGACCCACACAGATGCTCCTCGCTCCTCCAACACTTGGTCCACTGGCTTTAGGCTCACACTCTGGTCTTAATTTATCCTTTGATCACTTTGTAGGGGAAATAGTGTCAGGTGGAACTCCCCATCTCCTGAATATGAACCTGCTGCATTTTTTCATCATAATATTTGAAAGTTAATTTCTCTTAGTTGTCTTTACTGGTGACCATCAAAGAAATCTACCATATTTTATCCTTATCTTTTTTGTACAGGCAACCCGGAGCAGTTGGATTCTATGGGGAGGCAGAGGCGTGTACAAGGTGAATTATTTAACAAACATGCATTTTTGGACATGTCACAGTCTGGGGCCATATCCTTAATTACAGAATCCAACCCCAGATATCCCTATATAGCAGGAGGCCATGCAAATAGGGCCCAGTTTGCTCATAAAAACCAGCCCAGCCCTGACCCTGCAGCTCTGGGACAAAAGCCCAGCCCTGGTATCCCTAGGTGTTCCCATTTTCTGATCTGGACTTAATACAGACCACTCACCATGGGGTTTTGGCTTATTTGGGTTTTCCTTGTAGCTGTAATTTATGGAGAACAATAGACACTGAGTATGTGAATGGTCAGGAGTGAGAGGAACAGTGGAAGTGTGAGAGCTTTCTGAGCAGGTCATCTCTGTGTTTACAGGTGTCCAATGTGAGGTGCAGCTGGTGGAGTCTGAGGAAGGCTTGATGTAGCCTGAAGGGTCTCTGAGATGCTCCTGTGAAGCCTCTGGATTCACCTTCGGTAGCTACTGGATGCACTGGGTCTGCCATGATCCAGGGAAGGGGTGGAGGGGGTTGTTGTAGTTAATCCTGATGGAAGTACCACAAACTATGCCAACTCTTGAAGGGCCAATTCACCATCTCCAGAGACAACACCAAGAACATGCTGTATCTAAAAATGAACAGCCTGAGAGCTGGGGACACGGCCGTGTATTACTGTGCAAGAGACACAGTGAGAGGAAGTCAGTGTGAGCCTACAGAAACCTCCCTGTAGGAGAGGCTGTGACCACCAGGGGGCGCAGGGTCCATTAACAGAAGGACCTTCCCAGCAGCAGGTGCAGTTGGATGTTTGGCCTGGTTTCCTGTGTGGTTTCCTCTTCATGTCAGTTTCCCTCAGGGAACCTCTGGATTCCTGATTCTGCTCTTACCTCTGGAGTCTCTGAGTTCGAAAGTCTGTTGTGAACAGAGACAACTTTCTCACATGGGCAAACCTCAGGCACTCTTGTGCCCAAACAATAACCATCTAATCTTCTGTCCTAGGTCACTTTAATCTAACCAGAGGCTCTGCTGACTCAACTGTGAATCTCAGCTCCTCACATGTCAGGGTCCCAACCAGTCAGCAGCAGGACAGGAGTGTGCTGACAGGGGGCACCAGAGGAGTGTGACCCCAAAACTAGAGAAGAAAGATCCTGGCTTATCATCATGCTCATAGCACCAAGAGTAAGTGACACCAGACAGAGACAGAACAACCCTAAATCAGCTTGGTACACATGTCCAGGCCGATGACAAACACACACACCAAGTGAACATGGGCTGTTTATTCCATACATAACTGAACATCTCTGTGAAGCACAGGAAAGGCCCTTCAGGAAGTCAGATCTGTTTGATGGAGCCAGGAAAGGAGACTGGCTTGGGGTTTTATTTGTCGTGGTGGTGGCAGATGGGGAGAATTCTCCTTCCAGGGGCTTGAGTGGTTTCAATCTCACAATTACATCTAAAGACAAAACCATGATTTCCTATCAAATTTCTTGTGTGTGGCAGATGGAGAAGAGGCAAGAATAAGCCTTCCCTTCTCAGCAGTCAAATGGAAAATAAGAGTATGGCAACCTATTTTACTTAACATCTATACAAAATGACCAAAAATTATAGATAAAGTGTCATTATGTGTGTTCAAAAACTAGGCCTACAGAAAATCAGAAGAATAATTAC